CGTAATAGTAAGACCATTTCCTGAATTCGTAAATTCCATGCGCATCAATTGGCAAGTAACTCATTATGCATTGGACATCTTGGGCGCTGTTCGTGACCGGTGTCGTAAGCGGTGCGAGCGCGGCCGCACTAACTAAAGTCACCGAGGCCTTCGGTCCGAATCCCAGAAATGTCGGGTTCTACATCTACGTGCCGGACAAGCTCGCGGCAAATCCTCCGATCTTAGTCAATCCCCACTGGTGCCACGGCGATGCGCAAGCGTGCTATGCCGGATCGCAATACGCGACTTTGGCCTCGCAGTATGGGTTCATCGTCATCTACCCGGACAGCCCTAACACGGCCGACAAGTGCTGGGACGTGTCGTCGAACGCGACCCTGGCGCACGATGCCGGTGGTGATAGTCTTGGAATCGTCAGTATGGTTCGGTGGACCCTCAACAAGTACAAAGGTGACCCGAAACGCGTGTTCGTCACGGGCGTGTCGTCAGGCGCGATGATGACTAGCACTTTGATCGGGGCGTACCCGGACGTCTTCGCCGCGGGCTCCGCATTTGCCGGTGTTCCCTTTGGCTGCTTCGCCGGGAATGGATACGGTGTCTGGAGTGATGCGTGCGCGACGGGGAAAGTCACGCACACGCCGACGCAATGGGCGGCATTGGTTTCGGCGGCCTACCCGGGATATAGCGGGTGGCGGCCGAAAATGCAGATCTTCCACGGCACCATCGACGAGACGCTGAATTACACGAACTTCCTCGAGGAGGTCAAGGAATGGAACGCTGTCTTCGGCTACTCCCAGACGCCCTCCACCTCGATCCTCAACACGCCTGTCAATAACTGGACGAAGTATGTGTACGGCGGGAACGACTGGTTTGAGGCTTACAGTGCTGGAGGCGTGACACACAATATTCAGAACCAGGAAGCGGTGGTTATGTCTTGGTTTGACCTGACCTGTACATCAGGAAACTGCTTTAGTTGGGGCACAAGCGGTGCCTGATTCTATAGTAACTAGGCTATTTCTCTCGGAGGTCATGTGGGACCTAAAGATGCGTATGATGTCTGTGAAGCGCCAGAGTTTTGACAATTCTCAATTCTTCATTTTCGAGCAGGGCATCACATTTGTGTGAAAATGAGCTTCAAGCATAGCAACGCCGCTGCCTGCAGAACCCCTAACCTACTCAGCGTACGACTAATGATATTTTGTGCACTTGGGAAGACCCATTCTCGCCTAGGTAGGTAACGTTTAAAAGTGAAATCCCACCCGCCCTGTAGCCGCGGCTCGCATGAGGGTCAAGGCTAGGGAATGATCATGATCAGCTGAGTTGATCGAGTAGCGGGTGGGTGTATACAATTAAATGCTTTCGGATTTACCAGTCAGACAGTCCTCTAGCTATTCTATCATTAAATTCGACCTCTATCTACTTGGAAAGGGTTGTCACAGACAAGCGTCAAGGGATGTACTTAGTCTCATATGGACCCCCCCTAGGGGCCAATTAACCAACTTCCCTACACTTGTTTTGTAACTGAGTACGGGCTATACTACTGCGTACAGAGCTGGCTTACAGATTTATCCTGCACCTAGCTTTTGCCCTAGCCTCCTTTTAACCTAAATAAGAAATTTTACTACCTGTTTTAGATGTAAAACCATGTAACCTTTCTTTCACTTAAAACCAAGGGTATTTCGAAATTAGGTAACTCCTTTTACAACTTTTAACTTCTAAGCTTAATAAACTCCTGTATCTCTTTTAAAACTTCCCTATATCTTTCATTTGAAAAGTTGTAATAACCCTTAGAGTATTAAACAGTTCGGCCTTACCTAGTTGTTATAGGAGAGCCGCCTTTAGGGCTACCCCCAGCACCGCCACAACGCCCCACCGCTACCCACAACCTGGCCTATACCTAGCAAGTACTTAGTATAGTCAGTGTGCTTACGAGAGAAAACTACAAAGCACGAGAATTATTTACGAGAGTGACTCAAATACCGATGGTTGCCAACATGGAAGAGGAAGAATGGGAAGAGTTGACCGCCGAAGGAGAGCAGGGCATGCAATGGGTCCTGGCTGATGATGAACGGCGAAGAGCTGGGAATCTTCTAAAGGAATGACGTAGCCAATAAGCATGGGCATGCATCGAGGAGACGAAGATCGAATCCTCACTTCCTATAAGATTATAGTCTCCTTAAAGAGCTCACTCTAAAGCTGGGAGAGGAACTATGTTTAAACAGCTATCAAAGACCGTGAGTATCCTCCGCGTAACCTCGGCCGAACTCTCTGAGTTCTGACTTTGTTATACATAGGTGCGTTCCATCTACGAATTCCCGACATGGACTACGAAGGTATAATCGCTCGTAATACCTCGTATATAAGGGGTTTGGACAGAATCGTCACCCGCTCTTTATGATCTGACATAGATTGCGAAAGCAAGGCCATGAGGTCACTTGTTTGCCGCGGCGTTCAATCAGCAGGCAAAGCCCTACAAAGTTTATAGATGACCGACTGACGACTTAACTGTGCGCCCGTCTTGACTATCCCATCGTATATTGGCAGACCTGACCCCCATAATGTACACGATATAATTGCGATACTTATATCAGCAAGACGTTCAAGTTCAAGGTATCGTGAATAAATTCCTATGGTGCTCAGTCCGATAGCTACGCTTATATCTAACATTTTTGCGATCAACTACAGGTACGAAATAAATCTAGGTATTAGTAATAGACCCAATGGTGGTGGTGTTGGCCCCCCTGGGTTGCTAGTCCGATCGCGGGGCAATCAATCCAGTAAAGTTACTGGTGTCTCTCATTAATGACGCAAAAATGGACTCAGCGAACCCACCCCCTCACGAGCCGTTCTCTAGAGAGTATTTCAAGCCCTCTTTGCCCTTGCTATCCGCTCACTGCAACCTACCAACATCCATCACAGATTTCAATATTCAACCCTCTCGATTCCCAGAGACATTTGCCTGGTACGACGCCCATGCAAAAGAATCATGGCGCCTCTCGCAACGGAGCTATCCGCTGATCAAGGTAACTATACAAAATGATGCACCCGGGTGTTCAACTTGCCTCGCCGTGTTTCTGCTGGCCTGTCATCGCTCAATCTGATTGAGTCGCATGGAAGGCCAAAAGACCACGGCGGGCAGTTGATCTGAGAAATACCGGCGAACTTGATCTGGATAATACCAGCGAAAGGACGTGCTTCTTTTACCTCCCTCCCCTTTTAAGCCCTAGTCTAAGTTGTGCTGACCCCGCCAGCATTGCGCTTGATCTGTCACCATGTCGACTGACAAGATCACTTTTCTGACCAACTGGTAGGAATGAAGCGCAGTCTGCGGTAATTCATGAGGAAATGTAGATTGACATGAGCCAGGCACGCTACGCCGTACCACGCTCCGCTCTTTCTGGCCCAGTCGAAGGGCTTCTTCAAGGAGGAAGGCATCAAGGTTGCCCTGCTCGAACCAAATGATCCCAGCGTAAGCGGGAGTAGAATGCATTCCTTGGTAAAAGCCACTAACGTCGACCCAGGATGTCACCGAGATTATCGGCACGGGTAAAGTCGACCTAGGGTTCAAGGCCATGATCCATACGCTGGCGGTAAGTTTATCGCTTGCAAGCAAGTCGAGCACACGCTAATATTGCTGTGTAGGCCAAAGCCCGTGGCTTCCCTGTCCGTTCCATTGGCAGCCTTCTAGACGAACCCTTCACCGGCGTCGTCTACTTGAAGTCCTCGGGCATCACGCCGGACTTCCACACCCTCAAGGGCAAGCGCATCGGCTACGTCGGCGAGTTCGGCAAGATCCAGATCGACGAGCTGACGTCGCACTACGGCATGTCGCCAGCGGACTACACTGCCGTACGCTGCGGGATGAATGTCACGAAGGCCATCATCACAGGCGAGATCGACGCCGGCATTGGGCTCGAGAACGTGCAGATGGTCGAGCTCGAGGAGTGGCTCGCGTCCCAGGGCCGCCCGAAGACGGACGTCCAGATGCTGCGCATCGACGAGCTGGCCGAGCTGGGCTGCTGCTGCTTCTGCTCGATCCTGTACATCGGGAACGAGAAGTTCATCGACGCGAATCCAGACAAGGTCCGCGCGTTCCTGCGCGCCGTGAAGAAAGCCACGGACTTCGTCATCGCGCAGCCCGAGGAGGCGTGGAGCCAGTATGTCGACTTCAAGCCCGTCATGAACACGCCTCTCAATCGGAAGATCTTCGAGCGAAGCTACGCCTACTTCTCCAAGGACCTGAAGAACGTCAGGCGTGACTGGGAGAAGGTCACCGCGTACGGCAAGAGGCTGGGTGTTCTCGACGCCGGCTTTGAGCCCAACTACACTAATGGGTTCCTGGGCTGGACGCTCGGAACTGATTCGCAGGATCCAACTGGCGATCAGAAGAGGATGGCGGATTTGCAAAAAGACGTCGCAGCTAAGGGTGGTTTCTTTAGGCTGCAGGTGGATGAGGTGGCGTCTCATGCCTGAAACATTCTATCTTCGTTTTCTACTAGGTGAGGCTATTTAGCAATGAGCCTTCAGTCACTCGTTCCCATCATAACAATAGTGGCAGACGAATAATAAGAATATGATTACCTGCCCAACATCGCAGAATCGTGAAAAGATTTTGGCTCATGACTAGGATCATTCTTGAAGTCGAAAGTAGCGTAGACTTCGAAGTTTGGGGTTGAGGGTTGGCGCTCTTTTCCATTTACCCCGTGTCTCGATTATGCTCATTGCGATACATATTCAACTTGTCTGAGAATTCTCTCCACCCAGGGCGACCGTGGGTTATCTACTGAATATAAGAGTAAAAATGGGATGATGTGAGCAGTTTGGTCTGTAGCAGCTTTATAGAGTAGAGTGTTGCACGCTTTTCTTACAACCATCGTGCTGCGATAAATTGATGTTCACGCCACTTTATTCGATTATTCCCGCCTTAGACCTTCATCTTTAGTCTCATTAGCTAGGTAACAATAATCCTAAAAATTAGAATTCACAGCTAAACCAAAAACAGATGACCTCGCTGGGGGTCGAACCCAGAATCTCCTGATTGCGCTTTTCAATCGTAGTCAGACGCCTTGCCATTGGGCCACGAGGCCTGTTTCCTATTTGATGGAAGCCATTACTCGCAAATGCCTATACTACGGTGGAATTAGGAGGGTTAGGAAGTAGCCCAGTAGGTATAAGCTTGGCGCTGATTCAATATTTTAGTAATCTTAGGGACTTCGAACAGAGACTCCTGAGCTGAACATAAAACACGCATGAATATTTATATCTGCATCTTAGTCATAATTAGCAACTTGGTTAGGTGTTAACATATTGCATGCCACTAGATTATGTTGCATAAGAATTATCGCTGTATATTGGTTGCTTGTCCCGTTCCTGGTGCTCTAGTTGGAGCCACGGCGTCATAAAAGTCCAAGGTCTCTTGTTCACTAGTGTTTTTATCAGCAAAGAGTAAGAACCGTTGAGATTAGTATAATATTCTTTTCTTAAGTCAGTTAGCTTTTAAGATCGTTGGTTGAACCTGTTACGAGAGATATGAGAGTTTATAATAAGGAATGGATCAGGAGTCAAAGGGCTCCAAGACAGGGGACTGGGTTTGCTTCGAAGCCGGGAATTTGTATAATCTACGTAACCCAATCTAAATTAAGATGCCGTGTGCTAATCCTAGTCACTTTCCCGCTCTCAAGATGTTTCACCATACGTCCTTGGAATTCCAACCTTTTCCCACAAATGACGATGCGATGACACCTTTCATCGTGTCATGCCTAGCTCTCTAATTTGAGGTCTGCGACTAGCCGGCGCTAGTCGGTCTTATACACCTGAGTAGATTAGGTAGGTAGATATGCGGCATATTGATTCGTGCTAATAAGGAAAGCCATCGGACATGTCTCCGCATTCTGAGATCTCCAAATCCCACGATGCCGTCAAGTAGAACTAAAGCGCTCATCGCTCTTCTTGATAACATCCAAGTATCCGATTGTGAAGATGATTCCAGAGGCCATGGCGACCGTGCAGCCATCGCAGAGGCGACACGACGACTCCTCGCTCGTGTAGAGACGCCCTTCGAGCGCGCATGGCGCTTATCGTGGATTAATGGGAATGCTCACATGGCAGTGCAAGTCGTCATGGACGTTGGAATTTGGGAGGCGTGGTATTTAAGCAAACGACGTGAGATGTCGCTGTTAGAACTTCATCCTTTGGCTCGAATACCGTGTGATTTGATGCTTCTCCGTAAGATAGCCCAGTTCGCCCCCTTATATATGATGAAATCGTAACTGATGAACTATACAAGGTCGTTTGTTTCGACTTCTAGCTGCTGAAAACGTCATTCGAGAGCTCGGAGAAGATCGATACGGCGCCACTTCTTTCTCGGATGCGTTAGGACAGACGGACGGGCCAGTTGCGCAAACGATTCTATCAGGGTACGCAGGAGGCTCATTTTTTCTCCTTCTCGTGCTGTCTTCAGTTACTCTAACACTGATGCGCATTGGAAAGGACACATCATGGTTTAGATTCGAGCCGGATGCTGCCACAATTCTTGGCACGCACAGCTTACGCGGAGCCCTTAGACCCAAGTAACTCGAGCTACATGGATCTGACGCCAGAAAGACTGGGTATGTTCGAGCGATGCCGCGCAAATCCGGAATACCAGGCCAGCTTCATCGGATTCATGCGCGGACTGGCAGCCTATAAGCTCGACTGGACTAAGATTTACGACACGAAAATCCTCATGCGCGACTTTGACACTAATGGTGAAGTGCCATTCTTCGTTGATGTAGGGGGTGCTCACGGTGTAGATATTGAACGACTGCTCAGTCGGTATCCGAACCTCCCCAGCGGAAAGCTCATTCTACAGGATACACCAGGCGTCATCGCGATGGCGAAAGTGAATGAAAAGATCACAGTACAGGCCCATGACTTCTTCACGCCTCAACCCGTAGAAGGTGAGTAAATAGAATCCTTAGGCATCGGCTTTTCAAACAGAGTGGTAGTTAGCTCAACTTCAACAAGCTGCGCATTACAATTGGGTTAACTTGCATAACCCACACTAGTGGCCGTAAGCATGTAACTAATATACCTTGCGCTACTCAGGGGCTCGGGCTTACTTCATGCACGCAATTCTACATGATTGGGATGACTACGATGCGGCGCGCATTCTCAACAGCACAGCTGTTGCAATGAAGAAGGGATACTCGAAGCTTCTCCTTTACGAGAGCGTCCTTGTGAGCACAGGGGCAACACTATATCAGAGCGTCGCCGACGTCAGCCTCATGCACTTGATATCCGCTGCCGAACGGACAGAAAGGAGATGGAGGGAGCTTCTTCGGGCTGCTGGCTTCGAGGTCCGCAAGATATGGCAGCATCGGTCGTCCTTGGAAAGTATTATCGAGGCTGAATTGGCTTGAAGTTGGGAGTTTGTAGTACTGTCTTGTGTTTGAGTGGTTCTATGACAGGCGATCCGATGAAAGTGAATATTTAAATGGCGCAATCCGTCGTGATCGGATTAGATGCGTCATATCTTCAGTGATTGTGACGGGGAGGTTCATATATTCAACGACTTTACGAATAAGATAAACCTCCATTGATGGATCTTGCGCTTCCATTCTGATTTCATTTTCGTTCCCTTCTTGTCACAATTCTTACTTACGTCTTCACCCTGGATTTACCCCAAAAAGAAACTCTTACTTATCAGTGTTCAAGTTATCATCTCTCTTATGAACCTAAAGCGCGATCCATGTGAGGACTAGATCTAGCCTTTGGTGAACCAAATAGGCATTTTACCCACGAGCAAATATCAAGACGCATAAGCACAGCAGGAACAAGGGAAAATCGTGACTTTTTGGTATACCGCCAAATTCTAGTGCAGCTCTAAAGTAGTGGCGGTAAGTGCGTTGCCCATGTTACTAGAAATAGGAAAGGTTTCGGTGTCCCAAGTTCCAGATATAAGTATCATGCATGCACATCTCACAGCGTAAGAGTATGATCTTACCCACGGATACAACTTGAAAGTAATGAGACAGCGGATGTAGTTCCAGATCATCTTGCCTTATTTGCACTGTATGAGCTTCACTTTTAGGACAGTTGGCCAAGTTGGCAGTAGGGTAGATTAAAAAGCCTCAAGCCACTTTGACTTTACTCAATAGGTACCTGCCGTAGTATCATATACTGAAATGGAGCAGTGTGATCGCGCAAGATCTACCACAACACTCCAATTGCAAGGAGATAAGTCATAACTTACGCATCTAAGCAATTAAGCTATGTATGAATTAGGGAATTAAACGATCAATTAAAGGGCTATCTAATAATATAAATAAAGCAACTGTAGCTAATTTTTATAATGTTATATATAATAGTTAAATTTATACTTTAAAATCTAGCGTAATATTTATACTTTTATTTTTATTATATAATTTAGTTTAAACTTATTTTAATTAGTTAGTTAGCTTATTTAGCTATTTTATTTTATTTTAATTTTTTTTTATTAAAATATAGCTGCTTTTAGTTTATTTTAATATTTATAATTATAAAGTTTTTTATTTTTACTAATATTTTTTAAACAAAGTTAATATTATTTTTTTTTGCTTATTTAGTTTTATAAGTTCTTTTTTATTTTTTTTGCTATATTTAAAAGTAGCTTAAGCTTTAGTACTTATAAAAATATTATAGCTTTATTAAAACTAATTTTAGCTTTTTTATATATTTAAATATATAAACAAAAGCTTTTAAAAATGCTTAGTGTTTTTTTTATAAAAATGCTTATAAAAAGTTTATACTTTTTTTTTTTTAAACTATTAAGCTTAGCTAAGTTTTATATTTAGCTTATTATACTTAAAAAAAAAAATATTTATAAAGGTTTTTATAGCAAAATAACTTTATATTGCTAAAATGTTTTTATATTATTTATAATATAACTTTTTTAATATAATTATTAGTTTTTTTTGCTAGAAACTTTTTTTATACTTTAAAGTAAAAAGCACTAAAAAAACAAAACAATTAACTTTTAGTTTTTTTTTTAGCGTTTTTTTTTTACTTTATATATTTTTAGCGCTTAATAATAAAAAAGCTAACTTATTAAATTTAAAAAAAATTACTTTTAGTTCTTTTAAGAAATAATAAAATTTAGCGCTTATTAAAAGTAATAAACGTAAATCTTTTTATAACTTAAGGCTAAAATGCCTTTTAAAGTTTGCTTTTAAAAATTAAATAAGCTATTTATAATTTTTTTAATTATTAATACTTTTTTTTAAATATTAGCTTATTAAGTTATAAAATATATAATATAAATATAAAGCTTTAATAAACTTATATATATAATTATTATGCTAGCAAAAACAAAAAAATATAAAATAGCTTAATATAATCTTTATATTAAAGTGCTTTATTATTTAATACTTTTATAATTTTTAAAAAATTTATTTGTTATTTTTATTAGTAATATATTTAAAGTTTAAAATATATGCTACTTTTAAAACAATATTAATAAAAATAATAATTTAATAATTATTTAAGCAATATTTTATTATAAAATATTTTATTTAAAAAGTTGCAGTAATTATTATAGCTTATTTTATGTTTTATTAATTTATAAAAAAATTTTTTATAAATTAGCTATATTTAGGTTTAATATTTATTTTTAAAGCTTTAGCTTTTTTATTTATATATAACTAAAGTAATACGTTTAGTAAAGCTTTTATTTTATGCTTATTTAGTTATTTTTTAGCGTTTAGCTTTATAAAAATATTTATAATATAAATAGCTTTAATTTTTTATTTTGTAATGTTTACTTTATAAAAGTTTTTATAATAGCTATAAATAGCAAGCCTTTTTTAATAATTTAAATATTTTTATTTATACTAATAAGTTTTTTTAATAGCTATTTATTGCTTTAAAAAAAAAGTTTTTAATTACTACTTTTTATTATTTTTATATATTATTTTTAAAACTTTATTTAACAAAAAATAATAAGCTAGCTTTTGTTTATTATAAAACTTTAGTTTATTAAAATGTTTTATATTATTATTTTTTTAATAATTATTTAAAGCTTTTTTTAATAGCAGTTTTTTTAAAAATTTTATAAATAATAACTATTAAA